TCCATTTCGTTTGAAAGTACCCGTTGAGGGTGTTTGTAGGATGATATAATCAGAAGACGATGACCAATTCTCGTTCTGTATTCGTTTAATCATATACGTTTGGGTTAAGTTGAGTTGAGTCACCTCCTTGTTCCTGACAGCATCCTCAAGTCTATAAATTACGCACAAGTAGTCCTTAGTTAACTTCATACCAGTATTGCTAATATTTAATATATTTCTTAATCTCTTGATTTCGATAGCCTTAGTAATTTTCTCTTATAGGTCACCAAGTATTTTCAACATATAGCTGACCCCATGAATACACTATTTCATAGCAGACTGATCTGAATAATTTAAGATTTCTAGAAATTAGGCATGACGTTTTAGTGAATCTAAAATATTCTTTATAGATGTGCTCTGCTTTGCGCTAACTTGTAGAATACCCCAGCCTTGTATAAAAGATCAAGAAACTGAGTTACGGAGTGCCTTGCATGTAAGGAAAGTTACAGTCGAGGATTTCGATGTGGGAAAATCACAGACGATGGTGGAGTGTGATGTTGGTGTAGGAGGGCAGTGTTCGGTCATAGAAGGTAACGGCGACACCAAGGGGAGCGATCTAAGGGGTTTCTGACCTAAAATAGTCGTGCACTTTTACTGTCACGTTCTGATTGGTTTAACGAAGAGGCTCGATGCGGTGACCAGGTTCGCTTAGCTCCTTCGGGACAGTACCGATGAGTCATGCTCCGCTTGGTATCGCATGAGTTGATAGATAACCTCGAGAGATGTAGCCAAACTGATTGTGGAGCAAAATTCACTACAAATTTAAGAAGTGTCACGGTTTCTTCGATAACCGTTTTCACTTCCATACTATTTCGCTTAGAATTTTAGATAGAAAAAATGAGGAAAAACGTCAGAACATGGAAAAAGGGCTATTTCTTAAGTTCTGAAACATTTCCCTATCTAGAAATGCCTTTCCAAACGTTCTAGGCTCAGCACTAAGGCTTGAATTGCTCCCAGAACTGAAGTGCTGGTATTCCATTATATCATATCGAGACTTACGAGAGGCCGTCTTTATAAATGATTTTCTTAACTGTCAATTTGATGTATTCATATGAAGTTATTACCGAATATATCAAATACCCGGTCACTCCCTGATTGTTCGCATGAGAATCGTGAACTCCTATGCATCATACTTCTTTTATTATTAATAATCAATCTTTACAGTAATCCTTTCTAGACCTTAAGCTGAGGGTGCCATAGTCTCTCTTTAATCAAACGTATTCATTTTCCAATTAAAAATTTTCCGTTGCTTACAAATGCATTCAGTGCTCCTTTAAGTCTGGTCTAAAGATTTTCAATAGGATTATTAGCTAAAAGTTTTTTATGTTTTCGTGTCATCTAAATGGAGCACTATTTTTCTATATAATAGCCCTAACTGTGACGGTTATTGCATCACCCATATCTGACTTGATAAAAAATGGAGTATTTTTGTTTAAATATATGAAAGCAATATTCAGACCATAATAGTTTTGTGGAATTATTACTTAGTAAAGAGGAGGAAACCCTTCTCATTATATACTATTCCTAACTTCCTCGGACAGCTTTTCTGCAGAATTAGTTAATTAAGCCAGTATATCCATAGAATATTTTTTTAAATTCTACTAGGCAAGGATGAAACCTTACCATCTATAGGTATATTGAATAATTAGCAATCCTATTTTTGCTATAATAAGTTAAATAATTCAATCATGATTCCCTATTATTGGTAATAGATAAATCTAAACGCTTCTAGCCAGTTTCACACCTACGTCACACAATAGAAAAAACCAAGGCCCTTTAGCTCATTTGATCGTTGCAAATGAAACATCAACTAACACTTTCGACATTAATGGAGTGCTTATAGATTTCAGCTTCAAAAGGGTTCTGAGATTAACATTCATCTTCTCTAATAACCTACCATTCACAATTCTTAGGATTTATTTCCTCAGAGGTTATCAACTTTTCATCGATTCAGTTAAAAACCGACTCTTTAAAGTGTTAATTAATATTTAGATCTATGTTATATAAGAAGACGATGCCTGCATTCGTTTGATTTTACTTACTTTCCAGTTGGCGCAGTCCATCAGGCATCCTTCATTTCGGGTAAAAACTGTTTGGACATTCTTCCATCATATAAGGAATATCTTCAGAGCACAAACTACTTCCTTCAAAAGCTTTAAGTCAAGATGACTAGTCAGTAATCTATATATACTCACAACTGAAAACTAAAGTATATAAATATAGATGGAAGGATATAGAATCATGTGATTATTTCTTATTTCAATCATTCTACTTGTAATTAAATCTACATCTGTGTGAATGCTATTAATTAACCTTCCAACTTGTAATACCTTTCACAACTCAGAGTATTTGTAAAAAAGCCTAACGCTGCAGTCATATGGTGCGCCGACGACTTATTCGCACAAATTAACAGTAAAAATTTCAAGGCAATCCTCTTTCGGCTTACTGTAGAGCTTATTTAAGAATTCCTTCCACTCGCCTTTTAAAATGAAATGAAACGTAGTTGAATCAAGATTGCCTATGTGCTCTGACTGTGCAAATAAATCTTCAAATAACCAGCCGGCGACCTCGGTAGATTCTTGCTGAACTTTTCTCCATCATTTGACCGACTTCATTAGAGCGGGGCGCGATGGTTTAATTAAATCACCAAATTCGAAGACGGGAAAGTCTCCTATTGATCACTGCTATATCATCCTTCGCCAGAAGCAAAAAACGTAGTCATGATTTATGATTTGAGCGCATACCTACCGATGATTCATTTATCACTATTAAGGAAACTAAGAAGACGTTACTATTCATACTGTCAAAAGCCGGGTTTCGAATAATCAATTAATGCTTCTATGTGACTCGACTTTTAACTGTGAATTAAGAATTGGAAGGAAGGAATTCGTGAATTGGTCTCTTCGGAAACCGACGAAGGGTTGCTTCGGAGCAAAGAAGTCTTCGGCACACCGCCACAGCTCTCAGCCAAGTCTATTAAACTCTGGAACGCTTGTGCAGCTTTCATGAACCCGAAAATAGTGTTAATGGCAGCTTAGATATCTACTTCTAAGTTACTGTGTCTGTTTATAAGCTAATGAGAAATCCGTGAAACGCGGCTGGGAATATCAGTCTGACACAGTAATGGCATTAAGTATCCCAAATGCATTACAGGGTCTGCGATCGTTCTAATCTTTTTTTGGAACCAAAAGTAGTGGAGAAGTAATGTCCTTTTGGATTGACAAATAGCAGCAGCTTATAGAAAAACAGTGGATACTAATTTGTCTGGAATCATTTTCCATAGTCGATGGAAAACTGAACGGATAGTAGTCTCAATTGAATGCACTGCAGAATGACTTGCTGCTTCTCGAGTTTAGTTAATAAGGCGAATATAATGCTTAGAATGAATTGACTTGGATAATATTGTCGAGTTGACTTTCATTTCATGCGAAAGTGGTTAATGAAGATATTTGTAGACTGATCTCACCAGAAGACGACTGCTGATAACTGTTGTGCTGTCATTTAATTTTGAACGTTCGGGTTGATGTAGTCCATAAGACATCCTTCTTTGGTTGTGGTGAAAACGAGTTGCCTTTTGTCCATCATATGAGAACCATCGCTAGAACTAGAACTAATTCTTGCAAAAGCTTTAAGTTACCATTGAGTCATTTGGTTAATTCTTTCATATGCTAGTCAGGTTGCCTATACTTTGTTGTGAAGACTTTCATTTCGTATGAAAGCGTCATTTTTCTGGTGGAATCGACCTTCGAATCTCTCCACCCAACATTTTCACTCGAAATGCAAGTAGGCTCAACAATTATGAAACAAGATTTCTCGAAAACCAACTTTTCTTCGTCTAAAGTACTATAAGTCTTCGAATAGATGTTAAGACTCGCCTATATCTTTTGCCTAGCCCCGTGTATAAAAATAATCGTCTCCATCTGAATGTTATGTAAATTTTCTCAAATGTCTCTGAAGTTCAGCTTCTCAAGTTCACTTCCGTGTTTTTCATCCATATTATCATCACACAATACCCACAATCTAATCCGAATATAAATTGAAAGAAGTTACTTGATGATATTTATCTGACTTTATTTTGGCAACTTGGTCATATTGGTACATTGACCTAGAGGAATACACCTAGTCCGGAGTCTATAGTATACATGATAATTTCCAGAGTCAGACCATGGGCTTGATACGTTCTTATATGCTTCGCCGGCTTTTTCATTAAGTTTTGTCAATCTCATAATCAGATTATTATTCATCAAATTCACAAGTGGAGTGAATCTATTGACCATCCTTCCGTCAAGACAGTTGTGCTATCACTCTTCCTGTTCTGGCCCCTCTATCTTTTTCCTACCCTGGTCACCCCTCGTCCCCTCACAACTGTTGATTTGCTTATATTCCTCTCCTCAAGAGGTGTGTCCTTTGGGCTAACTTACCGTGGCGTCATCACATCTGCTGTTTGCCTTGCTCCCCCCCTTTCGAGTGGCTGATCTGACTCGGGCCTCCTATCCGCATCTGCTTCGGGCTCGTAGATCCGTTTCTTATCTTTCTGGTTGGCCGATTTCACTCGGTTCCAGCCCAAGTATACCCCTAACTTTAAGCGCTATTTCTCAAGCCTTCAAAAGGACGTTTAATTTTGCCTAACCTGCAGACCGTCTAGGCTCTGATTCACATGCTTGCGGATATTTTGTGTTGCCTTTCATCTCTTTCATAAAACCCCTATAATCTGAGTAAACTGTGGGCACGTGGGATTGGACACAAAGAGTGATAGCACAACTGTTTCGGCCGAAAGCTAGTCAAGGGATTGACACCACTTGTCTCTTTGACGAGCTGTAGCTTGAGGCAGAGAATGGCAAGACTTACTGAGTAGGCCGGCGAAAAGTTTGTGAATCTACCAAGTACGCGGTTCGAATAAAAATTATCATGCATACTCTGGACTCCGGATAAGGTGAGTTCCTCTGGGTCTACCTGCCACTATGACCAAGTTGCCTAAACAAGGTCAAATAACTACTATACATCGAAAGGAGACTTCGACCAAAATAGAGGCCGCCACATCTTGGTCTTCGTATTATAGAACTTACGATTATTTTAGTTCTTATTCTTTTTAAAATTAGCTTGATAAATTGTGTATAATGATTGAATTTATAAAAATTACTGATATTCTACCTGGATTAATCTCATTTAGACATGTCTCATTGTAAATAATTTTTTTGCTTTCAGCAGGAAAGTCAAAGTTTTGCCGGGACCATCTTACGCCTCTTGGGTACAAAATTGTGACTCGGGTATGTTTTATCTTCCGCTGGTTAATATTCTAGCAGTAACGAATGACTATATCTTTCTTTAAGCCATTGCATACTTAGCATTTGAATCATATACTACTTAACATTCTTGAATAACCAACTTATGCTTGAGATGTCCTTTAAATGGACAC